GGAAGGATAATTGGCTCGCAGATATTAACATTAAAAATATTTTGACTTTTGTTTAATAATTATTATTGCAGTTACGTGTTTAAACAAAAACGACCAAGTTAATGGCTATTACTTTGTCTCATCTATATTTACTTTTGCTTCTAAATGTTTACAGCCTATTATATATATATATATATATATATATATATATATATATATATATATATATATATATATATATATATATATACACACACACATTTATATATTTATATATATATAACAGATTTATTTAGGTATATAATTCACATACCATACAGTTCACCAATTAAATTATACAATTTGATGGGTTTTAGTATGCAACTATCACCACTATCGATTTTACACCATTTTCATTCCATTAACAATCTCTCCCCACTCTCAAGTTCTCCCAGCCCCTAACAACTACTAGTCTACTTTCTGTCTGTGTGGATTTGCCTTTTAGAGACACTTCATGTAAATGGAACCAAAGAATGTGTGGTCTTTTGTGACTGGCCTCTTTCACTTAACATACCTTTTTCAAGATTCATCCATGTTGTAACATTTATCAGTCCTTCCTTCTTTTTTATGACTGAATAGTATTGTATTGTGTGGGTATACCACATTTTGTTCATTCACTTTTTGGTTGCAGGACATTTGGATTCTTTCCACTTTTTGGTTCTTATGAATAGTGCTGTTATGAACATGCACAAGGCTTTATGTGAATGTATGTTTTCATTTCTTTCGGGTATACACCTAAGAGTGGAATTGCTAGGTCACTTAGTAATTCTATGTTTAAAATTCTGAGAAACTGGCACTGTTTGTAGCTGCACCATTTTACATTCCCACCAACAGTGTATAAGGGTTCCAGTTTCTCCACATCCTTGCCAGCACTTTTATTATCTTTTTAAAAATCATTATTGTTATAGCCACCATCCTAGTGGGTGTGAAGTAGTATCTCACTGCAGTTTTGATTTGCATTTCCTCGATGACTAGGCTGATAAATGTCTCTTTACGTCCTTATCAACCACTTGTGCATCCTCTTCAGAGAAATGACTGATCAGATCCTTTGCTCATTTTTAAATTGTGTTATTTATCTTTTTATTATTGTTGTAGTTCTTTATGTATTCTGTATACAAGTCCCTCATCCGAAATGATTTGTCAAAATTGTCCACAAACCATTTTTTATGCATCCTAAATGATATTTTTGAAGATGAGTGGTCAATCAAACCTTATATGACACCACTCAGTCACTAAAAGTGATATTATAGCATTCACTGCCACATGTGAATATATGATTAAGTGGAAGAAGCAGGTTCTAAAACATTATTTAAAAAAAAACAACATATGATCATTTTAAAATCTGCACAGAAAATCATCTGGAAGGGTACATATCGAGGTGTATAACAGTCATCTTTGGATGTTGTAATTATATATTTTAATTTTTTTATATCTATCTTTTCTTACTTTTAATGATGAATATGTATTGATCTTATAATAAGTTATTCTCAGTTCTTTAAAAAGCCCAGTAGTATAAGAAAATGCCTACCTCAATTGCACATGAGTTTGACTGATTCTACCCATTATTTGGATTTGCCAAAATCTTATGTGGGTGGGTGGGAAGAAGCTGAAACCACAGATGAGCCCATTTCAACATGAGAACAGCCTAGAACAGTGCCCCTCGGTTCCAGAGAGACTACAGGCTGGGAGGGGAAGGAGTGAAAGGTATGACTGTGTATAGGCATTTAATATCAATCTGTGTGGCTCGCTTCAGTTTGCAAAGCATTTTCAGATGTCTTACTTGGTTCTCTCAGCAACCCTACTGGACACCAGTTTGCAGATGAGGAAACCAAGGTTCAGAGACATTTTGTTCTTGCCCAAGGTTGTGTGGCCTAATAAGTAAGGATGCTCAGACCACAGTTTGGGTTTTCTACTCCTGTTGCAGTTCTTGTAACTGAGTGCCTTGCCTCTCACACTGTCTTCTTTCCTATAAAATTGTCTCTGAGAGTCAGGTATTTGAAGGATGACTTTTTGACACCTAAAAAGATGCTGTGGTCTTAGCTTGGAGAGAGATGCTGTGCTTCTGGCTAAGATGGTTGGTAGATGGTTACAAGTTAGCCCTCGTATCCATCATCACAACCCACCCCCCACCCCCAAATTCTTTTCTTTAGTGTCCTGTCTCAGGAAAGGAAGCACTATTGATAGATGAGTTCACTTATGCCTGTTGTTTACTTTTCTATTTTTTCTCATTTATGAACTTGATTACTAAGCTTTGAATATTGCTTTCTTTTAAAGTTATTGCCCAAATGAAATCATCTTAGCATTTGTATTGGCTTTATTACTCTTCTATGACTTTTTCAAGCAGCCTGGGAAACAAAGGACCTTTTCTTTAGCTTCCTTGGCACACTCTTCCTCATTATGAACATGAGAAAGGAAGAAGATGAATTCTTTTTTCCTTTGCTCAAATGTCTATGGTACTATCTGTGTTCTCTAGGCTAAATTAGGTAGAAAAAAATCTGAAGTCATTTTGAAAGTATGTGACTGCCTCTAGATCCTAGACAAGACGTTGGTTTACAAACTTTTTCTGTAAAGATCCAGACAGTAAATATTTCAGGCTCTGTAGGATCTGTTGCAGGTCTGCCATTGTAGTGCAAAAGCAGCCAGAGACAATGTGTAAACAAGTGGCCCTGCCTGGGTCAATAAAACTTTATTTACAAAAACAGACAGTGAGTAGATTTGGTCCACAGGCCATAGGCCTTTGTTCAATTATGTAATCTTTGTCTACCAGGAATCTAATTCTTTGTCAAAGTGATTTGCTACTAACCAGACGTTTCAAACCTTCTTTCTATCACTAAAGATGCTAGTGGGTTTTCTCTTCAAAAAAAAATATTATCATACAAAGCTGACCATTGCCCACTGCATTCTAAGTTCATTAAGAGTTAGAAGGCAAGTTTGGTATTACCCGGTCACCTAATAATTCTCTTCCTTTCTAAGATTACAGTTGCTGTAAGTTACAGCCTGGATCCTGCTTGATCCAGGAACATATCCCTGACCTCTTCTTGTGTTTTTAAACCTCTTTACAATTATAGAAGATGTCCCAGTTCATAACCTATTCATCTAAGTGAGCATTTTATTTCATTATGACCATCTGAACCACAGATCTGAAAAGTATGTCTACTTCTATCAGTCAATTCCTTTGAAATTTATTGGAGAGCAAAGATGGTTGTGAAAAATATCCAATGATTATGTTGACCTAAAACAAATAGGCCGCCAGTTATTTCTCCAGAAGAGTAAATAAATAGGTTCATTTCAGGTCAGCAGAAAATTTCAGCTTGGGGTCTGCAACTAAGGTGAGCCACGTGCAAGTGCCCACACAGGAAGGGAAAGAGAATGCTTTTATAGAGGGGAAAAGGATTTGGGAGAGCAATAGTACACAGAGTCCCTGGCTTTTCATTGGCTGAGTTCTTGACAGGAAAGAAGAGGAGTCTTTCTTCTTCCTGTTGGGTTCTGTTGTCATTGCAGGGCAGGAGAGCGCCCCCTTCTGGTCTCCCGACTCTACTTAATGAAGTGTCCGCTTACTCGTTTTTCACAATTGAGTTGAAAACAAGACCTATTTTTGTGGTGTCCCAGTTATTGGGTAATTTGTGTCTCAGCTTTTGGGTAATTTGGGGATTGTAAGGGCTTTTTGTAGTAAAGATTCTGAGGTGGAGGGCAACACAGGAAGGGTTGATATCTTCCATTATGAATTTTGTACATAAAAATTTTCCATGAAAAAAAAGTTTCTAATAGTCTTCACAAGTATCTTGGAGAAAATTGTTTTTACATGTCTGCTTTGTGTTTGCTGAATAATATATAGAGATACATTTTTTTTTATATGAGAGAGTCTTATTCCAAGAAGATACAAGAATATTTTCCCATGGCCACCTTCACTTATAATTTTTAAATTAACATTTTTCTAAGGTAAAAGTAGTGTATTTTTATAGAAGAAAGTTTGGGAAATTTATAAAGCATGAACAAGAAGAGTAAAATCATTCAGAACCAACTCCTTAACTATTGCTGTTGTTAACTATTGCTAACGTTTTAGTGACATTTAGATATCTCGGTATGCATGTGTGTACATATAGATTAGGTTATAAAATTTTCATATACATAAGATTATACAAAGTATTTTTGTAGTCTGCCTTTTTTTGCTGAAGAATATATAGTGGATATGCTTCTATGTTGATAAATACAAATCAGCATTCACCTTAATGGCTACACGGCCTTCCACAAGTGTAGACATACTTACTGTAACCGGCTTGGATGATCACATATTGGTGCTTTATATTCTCCACTATTACAAAGCATGCTAAGGTAAACATTCTTATATATATATTTTACCTTCTTTCCTTGCCAGAGTATTTCTTCAAGATAAACTACTAAAATTACAGTTAGCAGAAATATGTGTGTACATATATACATATAATTTTGATATAGAAAAGTTTGTGCCCAAATTATACTTTTCCCAACAGTTAAGGAGAGTGCTTCACACCCTCACCAAACTGGGAAATTTCTATAATTTCTCAACTGATCAGTTATCAGCATCTTGGCCTCTTTTCTTATTACTATTGTTTCAGTATTTTACATTTTTTGAACCAGCACTTATGCAGCACTTACTATGAATCAGAGACGGTTCTAGGTGCTTTTTATGAATATTAACGAATTTAAATCTTTATAATAACCCAGTGAACTAGGCACTGTTATTACTTTTAACTTACAAGTGGAAAAGCTGTCAAGCGACTTGAAGATCATACGTCTAGTAAGTGGTGGAGCCAGGATTTGAACCTTCTTGATTATCCCAAAATCTAGCCTCTTGACCACTGTGCCCTGCTGCTCCTTGGAGGAAAGAAAGGCTTAGCTGACTAGGAAACGAACCTGCACAACTGGCCTAGCTACCAGACCATCTATATTTTGAGTATTTTCTATTTTAATTATTTTTAAAATAATCCCCTTGGTTTTTTTAGGGTATATCAAGGTCAGAAGAAATCAAAAGAAGCTCTGCCCCACTACCAAGAAGCTTTAGAATATACTGAGATCAGTAAAGGCAAAAAAAGTCTCGAGTGTGTACCAGTATTGAGGGAACTGGCAGGCGTGGAACAAGCCCTGGGATTTCACGAAGCATCCATCAACCACTTTGTACAGGTAAGCTGGCAACGTACTGGCCACCAAAGCTGTTCTGAGCCACTGCTTTTCACAGATACAAGTGGAATAGCAGCTCTGAGAATACCTGGCTTTGTTATTTGCTTTAGGTAAGTGGGACCCTTGGCCTGGAGTAGAAGGTCAGCAAATATCTCCATATAGCTGGCCAAGGTGGGTGAGTGCGGGATACTGGTCCCTGTTACTGGTGCATGTTCCACAGACAGCTAAGATTCCCTGAGGGTAGCTTTTCTCATAGGAGGTTCATAATTTAAGTCTTGTTTCCCAGACAATCTTTCTTTATTCTTTAATGTTTATCTGTTTAGAGTTTATGTTATCAAATTGATTAGGGTTCTTTTCTATCACAGTCTACAATCTTTTTTTTAAAACTAGTTTTTGGTTTTGTTTTCTTGTTTTTTAAAACTGGAGTATAGTTGATTTACAACATTCTGTTAGTTTTAAGTGTACAGCAAAGTGTTTCAATTATACATATACATATATATAAATATTCTTTTTCAGATTCTTTTCCATTATAGGTTGTTACAAGATATTGAAAATAGTTCCCTGTTCTATATAGTTAGGTCCTTGTTGTTTATCTATTTTGTATATAATAGTGTGTATATGTTAATCCCAAACTCCTCTAATTTATCCCTTCCCCCTCTTTCCCTCTGCTAACCATAGGTTTGTTTTCTATGTCTGTGAGTCTATTTCTGTTTGCAAATAAGTTCATTTGTATCATTTTTTAAGATCCCACATATAAATGATATCATATGATATATGTCTTTCTCTGTCTGACTTACTTCACTTCATATGATGACCTCTGAGCACATCCATGTTGCTGCAAATGCCATTATTTCATTCTTCTTTATAGTTGAGTAATATTCCATTGTGTATATATACCATATCTTATTTATCCATTCATCTGTTGATGGACATTTAGGTTGCTTCCATGTCTTGGCTATTGTAAATTGGCTGCTATGAACATTGGGGTTCATGTATCTTTTCAACTTATAGTTGTATGGATATATACCCAGAAGTGGGATTGTTGGATCATAGGGTAACTCTATTTTTAGTTTTTTTAAAGAACCTCCCTACTGTTCTCCATAGTGGCTGCACCAATTTACACTCCCACAAACAGTGTAGAAGGGTTCCCTTTTCTCCATACCCTCTCCAGCATTTGTTATTTGTAGACTTTTGAATGATGGCCATTCTGACTGGTGTGAGGTGATACCTCATTGTAGTTTTGATTTGCATTTCTCTAATAACTAGCAATGCTGAGCATCTTTCAACGTGCCAGTTGGCTATCTGTGTCTTCTTTGGAGAAATGAAATTTTAGGTCTTCTTCCCATTTTTAAATTGTTTGTTTGTTTGTTTAATATTGAGCTATATGAACTGTTTATATATTTTGGAAATTAATCCCTTGTTGGTCTTTTCATTTGCAAATATTTTCTCCCATCCTGTAGGTTGTCTTTTCATTTTGTTTATGGTTTCCTTTTCTGTGCAAAAGCTTTAAGTCTAATCAGGTCCTATTTGCTTATTTTTGCTTTTATTTGCTTTACTCTAGGAGATGGAGCCAAAAGATATTGCTGTGATTTATGTCAAAGAGTGTTCTGCCTATGTTTTCCTCTAGGAATTTTATAATATCTGGTCTTATATTTAGGTCTTTGATCCATTTTAAGTTTATTTTTGTATATGGTTAGAGAATGTTCCAATTTCATTCTTTTACATGTAACTGTCTAGTTTTTCTAGCACCACTTATTGCAGTGACTATCTTTTCTCCATTATATAGTTTTACTGTCTTTGTTGTAGATTAATTGACCTTAAGTTCATGGGTTTATTTCTGGGCTTTCAATCCTGTCCCATTGATCTGTGTGTCTCTTTCTGTGCCAGTACCATACTGTTTTGATTACTGTAGCTTTGTAGTATAATCTGAAGTCAGGGAGCATGATTGCTCCAGCTTCGTTATTCTTTCTCCGGATTGTTTTGGCTATTCAGGGTCTTTTGCGTTTCCACACAGATTAAAAGTTTTTTTTGTTCCTGTTCTGTGAAAAATGCCATTGGTAATTTGATAAGAATTGCATTGAATCTGTATATTGCCTCGGATAGTATGGCCATTTAAATGATACTAATTTGTCCAGTTCAGGAACATAATATATCTTTCCATCTGTTTATGTCATCTTCAATTTCTTTCATCAGTGTCTTACAGTTTTTGGAGTACAGGTCTTTTGCCTCCCTAGGTAGATTTGTTCCTAGGAATTTTATTCTCGTTGATGCAGTGGTAAATGGGATTGTTTCCTTAATTTCTCTTTATGATATTTCTTTGTTAGTGTATAGAAATGTAAGATTTCTGCATATTAATTTTGTATCTTGCAACTTTACCAATTCATCGATGAGCTCTAGTAGTTTTCTGGTGGCGTCCTTAGGATTATATCATATCATCTGCAAACAGTATAGTATACTATCATATCATCTGCAAACAGTGACACTTTTACTTCTTTGTTTCCAATTTGGATTCCTTTTATTTCTTTTTCTTCTCTGATTGCTGTGGCTAGGACTCACCTATTATTTTTAAGATGCAGTTTAACCAAGGAGATGCCAAAAAATTTCAGTGACACTCCCCGCTGGCAAGGGTGCAGGGAGGCAGGCAAGGCACCCTCGTGCACTGCCAGTTGGAGTGGGAATTGGCACCACGTTTGGGGAAAGCAACTGGCCTTCCCTCTTTTTATAACATACGACCCTTTGACCCAGAAATTTCACTTCTAGACACTTACCTAACAGATTGATGTGCACCAGTGTGCAAAGAAACAATGTTGTTGGCAATAGAAAAAATTTAGAAATATCCTTAGAAATCTGTTAGTAGGGGACTATGGTATAGATCTATGATCATAAAGCTGTGATCTATCCATGTGATAGAGTGTTGTAGAGCCACTAAAAAGAATGAGATGGATTTATAAGTCCTGACATGAAGGGTGTCCAAAGTGTAATAAAAAGCCAGCAAGTTCTTTCAGTCAGTGACTAATTAAACGTGATGATGGAGGGTTCAGATGTCAAAGGTCTTCAAGCTGCATCCTAACAAGTGAGGTAGACCTCAGGGAAGAATCACACAGTTGAATGTGAAGTTACATTAGGTGCAGGAGAAGCTGATGTGAGACCGGGGCAGGGCCAGGCTATGATCTCGTGTGTGTATCTGTGTGTGTGTCTGTGTGTGTGTACGCGCTGTGTGTTTAAGAACATGTGCCTAAGTGTATATGTATAAGCATGTCAATGTTTCTGAGAAGATACACAGGAAACTGTTGATTGTGGGAACCATAAGAAATCAGCCTGGAAATGGGGGAAAGAGGGCTGATAGACACAAAGGAGGGGGCGTTAACATTTTTAATTGTTTTATCTTTCCTACCACTTAGGATTTTTGAAAAATTGTATGCAAGTACTGCTCTTATAATCAAAAAATCTAATTAAGCTTTAAGAAAACACGCACAGCCAAAAGACAAAAATATACCCTGACACGTCTATTTTGGTACTAACTCTTACAGAGAGCAGGGCCTTTTCCCCCCAGCCCTTTGGAGGAGCTAAAATTGACAACTGGAAAGCTGCCACTGAGACTTTCTCTGACTATTTAAAGAAACTGGCTTAGTCTGGGGCCCTCAGAACTCATTTTTTGCATGCCCTCCGCCCTCAATTACTTCCCTACCATCTACTCTCCCCAGGGATTCCCAGCTCCATTTTTTCTTAGCCACAGCCCTCCAGCCGCCCCAGTCCCCTGTGGTGTGCGTGGCCATGGGAGACTTCCCTACCGGGCAGAGATGGAAGTGGAAAGGAAGTGGCAGCCTTGGGCTGCAATATGAGAACCTGTGTGGCACAGGGATGTTTGCTCAGAGCTGCAGGGTGGAATGGCCAGCTCTGGCAGAGCTGGGAGAGAAAGCCATGCAGCTTCACAGCTGGTCAGTTATAACAGGAACCCAGCAAGCCCAGCAAGCTCGCACCTCCCAGTGACAAGTGGACTTGAGCTGCTGTGGGATTAAGGCACAAGGTTGAATCAAAGCGAAAACAGAGACCCTGGGTAGAAGGCACTTCAGTGTCGGCTCCATCCACCATCCGCTGCCTGACCCCCTCTGTGGTGTCCCTCGACAGTCAGTTCTCGGGATTCCTTATACTGGCAGCTCACTCTTCCCCTGGCCAGTCTATGCAGTCTGGGCTGAGTCTACCACTTAGCAACTGCTTCTCTGACTCTTAAATAGTTCTCCATTCCTTTGACTTGAAAATCACCTCTCTGTCACTTCTACCCTCTTGATAACTAGGTGTTAGACGAGAAAAGCATGCAGTTTAGAATCACAGGCTTTAGTTGGAATCCCTGTTCTACTATGTGACCTTCAAACAGTCACCTAATCTCAAGGCTCATCTCCCCATATGTAAAAATTTTAGGCAGTTAACATCACCCTCACTGGTCATTTTGAGAGTAAGCAAGCTGATACATATCACTGTTAGCTCCCTCATTCCCTCGGTCCCTCCCTGTCCTAGCCCTCAGCTTCACAAAGAGATCCTAGCAATCGCTATTGCCTTCTCTGTGAGTGTTCTCATCTCCAGGGTAAATAGATCCAGTTTAAGTCCACAAATGTACCTTGATGCACTTGCGTACTCTTCACTTTGCTATGGGATCGGTTGCCCTCTGAGTCAGTGATCCCCCTAAATCATTACCTAATGGGAATAAAACATCTCTCTCTCCCTTCCCCTCCAGGAGCTGGGTTCCACACTCAAAACTCACCCCCTCGTTTTAAGTTGAATGTTCATAGGATGAGGTCTGCCTGCATAAATAGAAATATCCTTTTTACTAGTCATCAAGTTTTCTCTTCAGAAACTATTACACATTTTACAAATCCAAGGGGACAGGCTCAGTTAGATAAGAGTCTGCCAGCCCTGGCTCTGACCTTGTCTACTGACAGCTGGATTGGCGCTGAGGAATCCGTGGTTTCCCTCAGAAACACACACAAGGACCAGACTGCAGCAGCTGCTTGAGGTGATTGGTCTTATGAATGAGTTTTTGCAATTAATGCCTTTTCTTAATGTGGGATATTAAAGGTGTTTCTGTTTTTGTTTTAAATCCAGTGCAGCATGCTAGCAGCTGTAGAGATTTAGGAATACTGAACGTTCCTCCTCAGCTTCAAGATGACAGTTGATAAACATGTAACCATGAAATAGGAAACACATCAAAGGGTGGGAGGAGAAATGCAAGTCCTGGGGAGATGAATAAATAATGAGGAGTGAGTGCAGTCAAGCCGCGAATCCCCAGCAGGGCCCATTACTTGGGGTTGCTGCCTGAAACCAAAGAGGCCAGCTCGACTCCTGTAACTCTCTTAACTCTAATGAGTCCTTAAATGCTCTCAGATGTATGCAACAGGGATATTTATATTATCTTAGCAAACAAAGTGTTGTTCCAGAATTATGAACGGTGGTTTCGTTTGGAAAGATTGGGCAATCTCGTCGCTGGCTTTGCCAACTTCCTTTGTACTCAGTCCCTAAGGAGGCCTCCTGCACAGTGTGGTACTGTGGTTATCACACCGTGTCACTCTGAACACTCATGTTCCAAGGAGGATCTTTTGAGGGGCAGCTGGGTGGGCTTCCAGGCCCTCTCCACCTACTTCAGTGAGAGCAGCTCCACTCTTACATGCTTTGTATAGGAGAGAACCAGAGAAGATTCTGTTTGGAATAAAAGGGCTTCTGTTGATTTAAAAATAGAAGCTCTAAAATCAGTGGTGTCATGATGTTCGCATCCTTTTGTAAGTTGCTTTTCCACTCAGCAATATGTGTTTGAAATGTAACTATGATAATGTACATAGATAGTGTTCAATCCTTGTATGAATAAACCACAATATATCCATTCCCCTGCTACTGGGTGTTTAGATGGTTCCCCATTTTTCATCATCTCAAATAATGCTTCAGAGGGGTTCAGGGCATTTTTGATATAGACACTGATGGACAGTGCCATCTAAGCTGGACAAGAAGGGAAGGGACATCAGGAGGGGTGGATGGAGGGTGAGATGTGGAGACTGGACAGAGGACTGGAAGCTGCATGGACACGAAAGAGCCAGGACACCCGACCAGCCAAACAGGGTCTGAGAGCTGCAGGATCCGGAGGTGGCACAGACAAGCCATGATAAAGCCCAGAACGTGATGGGGGACTGGGTAGCTGAAGGTGGGGAGGAACATGAGCCTGTCCAAACCTGAGAGCCCAAGAGGCTGGGCCATTTGCTAGATATTTTTGTTTGTTCTTTCAACTCCACTCTGCATCCCTCTCTGATCGGCATAAGTACAATGTCAGTGGGCCGCCTTGCCCTCTGGCTGGCAGGCACACAGCCTTGACCTTGGAAAGAGAGAGAGGACAGCTTATTTATCCCCTCAGCACTTCCCTGCAGGGTCACCGCAGGGGGTCTGCATCCCTCTACTGAAAGCCACAGCTTCCTCCCCTATAATTCATCTTTCCAATTCCAGCGAGTACTGCCGCTCTTACTCTGCCTCTGATGGTAAAGCACCCTGTTTGGGGGTCCTGCACGCTCCTCCTTGGGTTTCCTCCATGCAAAGGATCATTTTTATTGACTTCTTTTCTTCTATTATTCTGTTAAACTGTGCCATCTCTTTCTTGCCCACGAGGTGTAGACCAATCCTAGGGATACTGAAATCACTGAAAATGGACAGGAGGTGGAGTGGAGACGAACGTGGTGAGCAGGGGTGCTAAAACCCAGTGACAGGCAGTGTCTGTGAGCTTAGATAGAGTCAGACTACCCCACATTTTTGTAGTTCGTCTGTGAGCTCCTTTAAAACCAAAAGCCCTGCCTAATTTTGCTGTGAATTCCTAGTGTTTTAATAATATCTGGCATGCAGAAAGCATTTAAAAATTAAGATAAATTGAATAGGACTGAATTAAATTATACTGAATTGAATTTTTCTGAATAAATGAGATGCTAATCTTGCACAGTTTAAACATCCTGGGTTCCCTTCTCCACCACCCTCACCACTACCCCTCCTCCAGCGTATGGTTTTTAGAAGCTTCATGAACATCAAATAACAAATTAGATCAGAGACTGAGTTTCTGAAGTGAATAATGAATAATAAATGTTTGCTTCTGGTAGCATCTTACACAGAAAAATGTTGAGGTTATGAAGATTTTGTGATAAATTCAGATTCCCTTAAGATTTGAGGATCCACTTTCCTGATACTGTGAGCATTTCTGCTCATGGAAAACTTTGCTTCCTGTCTCCAAGACAAGAGGCAACTTAAAGAACTCACAGAACACATAATTACTCATTTGAAAGTAATTTTGGTAGACACGTAGCTTTTTATATTGCCTTGAATTACATTGCCTTTATTGAGTGGAACCAAATATGAAATCTTTTTCAATTTGAATTTGAGTTTTAATCAATCTAAAATACTGCATGTAAAAAAATCTTTGTAACAATATGAGTTAAATCTCTTGTGGCATCAGAGGGTGCTCACCTCAATAGTGCATTGTGGAGACAGTTAACCCCAGGGAGCTGGGGGCGAGGGGGAAAGGGACACAAAGTAAACATGATTCATTTGCACTTGGGGTGGGGCAGGCCTTTTCCCTTCTCTCTTTTCTCTTTCCCCAAGCACTGATCCGCTCTGTCCCGGTGGCTCCTTGTTGAAAAGCATTTCAAGCCAGAACTTCAGGCCAGATTGAGGATAATGACTCACTTGGGGGTTGCCAAAATCACTTACCCCATTTATGTATATCCTGTAATAAGAAAAGTAGTTTTAAAACAAAGGAAATTGTTAGCATTTACAAATATGAAATCCCGATTGTTCTGACAACAGCAATCAAAATTATTACCAGCAGTCTTGATTTGGAATAGCCCCTATCATGAAAAGTCTAGAGCTAGTAATTCACTGGATTTTAACATACGACAAATGAGGCGATGGTCTAGAGTCTACCCTGATTATCATCTCAGAAACACATTTAGCTGGTCATCAAGAGGAGCAAGCCTCTGTCCTTGCCGTCTCTCTGCTCGGGCTGGACTAGAGGATTCTAGTGGTATGGCTTTATCTAGGCCAGTTCCCGTGGATTAGTCATGGCTCCTGGAGGCTGAATGCATCAGGGTGCTCTGGGCAGTGTGCGGGCATCAATTAGTGATGTTTGCTGCCGCCGCAGGCCAGGGCGTGAGGAGGGTCAGCATTCAGGACAGAGTAGAAGCAGCAAATCTGAAGACAGAGTATCGAGCTCAGAGTCCTATCTCCACCCGCTGTTAGCTGTGAGAGATCTCAGGCAAATCACCTATTCAAGCAACCTCAGTTTTCCCATCCGTAAAATGAGGGTAATGAAACCTGTCAAAAAATATTAAGATTGGTGTCACAAATGAAGAAGAATTAAAATGCAACTTAAATCTTAGGAGTGTTTTGTTTTGGTTAGGTGTTTTGGCCTATCCCAACCTAGTGCTTCTCTCCTTGAAACTCCCCATATTTTAGTATTTTTGTCACTCTTCTGGCAATTAATTGCAAGCTGCCTACCACCTCACATCATTGCACTGTGTGACTTCCTGTTGCTTTCTGTGCTGCCCACACCTTCCAGCCCATGCCTCTCCAGTAGTAGGTGCTCTGACAGTGCCTGTTAATTGGGCGACTGTAAACATAATACTAAAGCAGTTTTAAATTCCCAATGGTGACAGGCAGATGAGTCGTAACTTTATCTTTTTATTTATTTATTTACTTGTTTGTTTGCTTAATATCTTTTTATTTGAAGGTATGTATTTTGTATTTTATTTGAAAGGATTATTATTATTTTATTTTCATAGGGTCATGGTGGGTGTTTGTTTTTTTCCCTTAAGGAATTTTTAAAATTTTCAAGGCTGTATTTTCAAGAAACTGAGCTGTTTTCGTGCTCGGGCAGCTCTCAGGGGTCAGCTCACTGAGGATGGAGGCAGATGGGCTTGGTGGACCAGGCATGGGGGAGGGGTCTGGGTTTCTGTGGGTGAGGCTGTGACACTGGGGGGTGGGTCCCCTTCTCTGGGCTGACTGGTGGGGAGGGGGTGGTGCTTGCCCACTTGCCCGGCACAGCACTGGCACTTTTAACCCATCTCCTGCCTTCTGGAAACCCTCCCCGCCTCTTCCACTGACACTGCACTCATGGGAGCGGAGGCTTTTAAATGACTCACGTAGCAATAGGCCCTGGCCACAGCATCAGGCCATCTGGACTCAACGTCCGGTGCTTGGTGCTCTCTCTCCACTACACAATGTTTTTAAAATCCAGCCCTCCCAAGAGTTGATTTGCTTCTGCATAAATCATATTGTCCAGCTTGCTAGAAATTTCCTTGGCTTTCTGCTTATCGCTGCAAGAACAGTTAGTTCTCCATGGCTGCTGCCAAGTGTGTAAACAAACGTGTTTCTTCTTTCCGTGGTGACAGGCGCATCTCATCGTCCTGAGCAGAAACCCCTCTCAAGAGGAGGCAGCCGTCTCCGCACACGTTGTCGCCCGCGCTGCCGTGGCTTCCGGGAGGCCAGAGCACCGTGGTGAGAGCGAGCCTTCCATGGGGGACAGGCCCTGCCTGCTCCCTGCCTGTCCCATACGCGTCCGGGTCTGTGGGCTGACTGCCTCTGGGATGGGGAACAGGTGGATGGAGCCTTCTCTGTTAGCTTCACCATAGTCCTTTGGTTTCTATCCCTGTTCAGCCTTCCTCTAATCTTCTCCTTTCAAATACAGCAAAACTTCGTCCAAACATAGCTATAAGAGTGCCAGAGAGCTCGTGCTGGGCTTACAGGGAAATCTGTTCTGCTTTCAAAGGCGATCTATTTTTAAAGAATGTTGTGGAGCTACTGTGGCAACAGATCTGACCTGCTGGAACTCCAGCCTCCAGACTCTCACAGCACTGAGCTTTCAATCAGGATGAACTTACACGGCGTCAGGATTCCAAAAGGAAGTTGCCATTTATGAGTCAGATAGTTTTTCTTAGCCCCATGTAATAGGTAGAGCAGTGAGCTTGGGAGTTCTGTAATCCTCCATCTGGGGCTCAGAGCATACAGGGCTGCCTCTGTTGATGGAGAACATACATCCTCGTGACTTTTGTTGCTGTTGTTGGTCAGAATATTAGAAACAGAGCATAACTCAGAAAGAAGACCTAGAGGTATACTGCAAGCTGTCAGGTAGAAATAGTTATGCATTGTAGTAAAATAAGGTCCAAGGTGCCATCAAGCTGAAAATCAATGTCTGGAAGGTGTGGGGTCAGTGTTCAGGGAGCAGGAGTTGGGCTAAGACGAGGAGACCAGTGGCGGAGAAGAGGAAGGGGATGTGCCAGTGAACAGCCTGGTCTACAGAGGTCCCTGGGCCAGGCAGGGGCTCCAGTCTAGGGAGGAGCTGGGGAACGAGATACCAGTGTTTATCCGTCTGTCCATCCCACCTTGCGGATCCCTCATTCTGGTCTATGTAGCTTTGAGCAACTTTCCAGAACTGGAGGAGAGAGAAGACAGGCGACCTTTCTTACCCTCACTCCCTAGAACACTCCATACACAACAGTCCACTTCAAAACCTTCAGAGAGCCAACATTTTAACCAACTTATCGGTGGCTAAAATTCCCTTGGTAGGGGAAAAGAACTTTTATGCCGCAGCTATTAATAGGATACTTAAAATGCAAATATGATCGGAAACCCCCAACTGGCGGGAGTCACAAATCTGAATGTCTATAGGAACCAAGTAAGCAATGTGGGTAAAGCGGGTGGTCATTGGGAAACAGCCACAGCAGGAGGCGTGGATGCACGTGTTGGCTGTGTGTGATACGAGAGGTACAGCATGGGACGGTGTGCACGGGCAAACTGGAGGAGCCTGTCCGCCGGCGGAAGTGACCAGTGTTCCTCCGCTCCGGCCCGTGACTGCCACGTCAGAGCAGGCTTACACTGGCAGATCTGCCTTTTCAAGAGAAGGCGGAAATGTAGATTTTTATGTGAAATCAATGTATAATTGCTGGTAACTCAGTCAGATATGTTTCAGGCTCTGAGTGAGGCAAAACAAGGTGGGGGCCAGACCCCTAACTTCTGCCCTGGGGAGCAGGAGACGAACGAGCGGTTGTCAGCTCCTTCCTGTTTCCCTCAGGGGCTCTTGGGCTGAGAACTGGAGGGTTCTGGGCATTGAAACTGGTGGGATGTCAGGGAGGGGGTCTGTTCCCCACAGAAGACCAAACAGCTAGAGGAGGCCGAGGCCAAAGACTGTCTTTGCCTAGAGGGGTTCCGGCTTGTCACCACCTCAGCTAATGGTCAGTGTTCACACCTAATGGATTAGATGGGGACCAACAGAAATCGTGTCCTACATGAGGTGTTTCCTGTCGCTGCCAAGTTAGGCCACTCTGACTCGTGTAATTAACGACTCAGAAACAATCCAGTTCTATATTTATATAAATTTTTTTCTAAGTTTTCCAGTCTAAATATGGTGTTGGTATAGCCTCTCCTGAAAATTGAGGATGTCACTGAGACCTAATTGTTACAGATAATGAGGTCTGTGAGAATTTAATGACCTCACACAGTAATAGCTAATTTTCACACAGTGTAAACTGGCATGGTTCTAACTGCGTTACGTTTGTTAACTCAGTTAATCCTCACAGCAGATCTGTGAGGCTGGTTCAAGTATTCCCAGTTTCCAGATAGAGACACTGAGGCCCAGAGGGACAGGAAATTTCACCAAGAGCCCAGAGCCAGGCAGTGGTACATTTGAATCTAGGCTCGCGGCCTCCGTGCTATCCTGTAAGGCCTGGCGCTGCACAAGCCCTTTGCCCTTTCTTGCTTACGTCTCCCCTGCTTACATCTGCCAAAGAGTCTGTGGCTTTTGGGAGAGAAAGGAACATGAATAAGAGCCAAGGCAGCCCAAGGAAGCCGCTTTGGCGTGCCGGTGGGGAGGGGCCAGCCCAGGAGCACGCCCAGGCTCTCAGCCCACCCTCTGCCCCGTGTCTCATGGCGGCCCAGGCTGTTCGGTGACCTACACCCAAAAAGCTGGCTTGCCAGAAGCATCTGAAATACAGGAGGAGTGTGAAGAGGGAAGGATAAGAAGAAAGCTTCCCCCAGGAGCAGGCAGTTGGGCAGCTGCAACTGGCTTTGCTAACAGGTTAGGAAGGGGGTCCCTTCTGCCTGAGGCCTGCAGGCTCGGTTGCTTGAAACATCAGAACTGTGGACTCAGGAACTGGGAGCCAGCGGGCATCACAGCCATAGTACCATGAACAGCAGTGACAGCAGCAGCAGGGCAGGAGCGCTGTCACGTGTGTGCAGGCGCCGGCACCCTCACAAACGTGCCCATTTACTCCTAACACGCCTTGGAGGCAGGACCCGACCTCCCATTTGTCATGTGCGCTAGCACCGCCAGCTCTCCGTACTGCCAGTCTGTGTCCTCTCTACTCAGTGCTCTACCCAGAAGGACAAAGCCCTGGTCCGTCTAGGATGCTCCCTTCCCAGACTCAACTTCTCCTAGTCAGAAGACACTTGAAATGTTTATCGCCCTGACGCCGATGACGCCGATAAGAAGAGTTTACTGAAGGCTTGAAGGCGAGTGGACCCGAAGGGAGGAGGCTGGGCGGAGATGCTGTAGGATCAGATGCCTGTCCAGCCGCAGCACGAAGCCCTGGAGCACAATCAAACCGTCGAAGAAGCGAATGAAGAGCAAAGAGAAACTGCAGACTGTTCCTACTGTGTTAACTGGCTTGAAAATGCTGCCATGGGAATCTTTGTTCCCTTGGTGGCAAACATGGGAAAGGCTGTGGATGACAAGCTGGCCGGCTAGTGTTTTGAGGCTGAGTTTGTTCCGCTCTTACCCGCAAGTGCCTAAGAGTGGTGTGGTCCAAGGGGGTGGAATCGGCTTCCCCCCAAAGCACAAATGAGCCAGTCCTGTAGCCAGAGCTGCAGTGGCAGCTGGCAGGCGCGTCCCCACCATCTTTGAGGGATCCTGGTTTTCACGTCTCTGCTAACCCCTCATGTATGGCCCAGGCGGGAACAAAAGAATCTTGCCCAGGGCTGAGGGTTCTCCAGACCTCTGCTACCTCCATCAAGGGGAAAGGAAAGGGGGGTAATCTGGAATTTGTCTTTGTCTGATAGCTAAGGAGGGACTGGCGTTCCCACAGCTCTCACCCAGGCAGGACTCTATAGCCTGGACTTTGATCACTTCTGGTTCAGGAGCCCCAGCCAGATCCCCTGGGAGCAAATCTGTATGTTCCACTGCGCGCCAAGAAAATCCACATGCGTGGGAATCTCTGCTCTCCTGTGCTTAAACCTGTCTGTGCCAAGTACAGTTAGTTATTTTGTTTGTTTGTTTGTTTTAAAGAATCGTTAATGAGAAAAATTTCTCATTAGGGGATTCTCCATAGCCTGCCTGCTGGATGCCCATTGAAGGCATTGCCCTCTGACAAACACAGCGCCACTGGCCAAGAAGCCAGTATGTTTCAGGCTCCACACTCAAGCTAATCCCTTCGCCTTGTGCCTTCCTGCATTCCTTATGCAGACAAAACTGCCCTAGAAGTCACGAAGGATTGTGATTGCATAAGGACTCCCGATTCAGGCTTGCAGAATGTCACTAACCTGAGCCTGGCCAGCTTCCCAGAGCAGCCATAGACAAACTTGGTATTAACAGCTCTCCCAACCCCGCTAAGTGTCAGGACACTGGCCTTGTGTTTATAACTCTTCTCCTAAAGGATATGAAAATGCAATGGGCTGAAGCCAAGTACATTTCAGTGTAAACTTTTGAGAGGCAGAGCCCACTGAGCATGGGCGGCCTTGTTTGGAAGTGGCCCCGTGCGGCCTGGGCTCCAACAGGCCAGGGAGCCCTGCAGCTCTGGAGACAGCAGGAGGAAACAGGCCTTCACCTTGAGGGCAGGGGGTGGGATCCCTGGCTCTACAGACAGACTCACAGGCGAGGGATGCAATCCTGAGATATAATCCGCTCTGCACAAATGTTTGTCTCTGAGGCCCCCACTTGTCCCGGCCTCTCCCCATGTTTTACGCAGTAGATGTGAAATTCGTGAGTTTCTGAACGTAGGCATTGTATCTGGATGCAGCCTCCTCTTCACCCTACACATCATCCCTCTCCTCGACTCTCCCTCCTGTGGCCTGCTTCTCAGCTTGCCCCCTTGCTGAGCCCTGCCCCACCCCACCCAGCCCAGTCCCCACTCATGGGGTTACTGTTGCTCCTTGGGCCCTGTGTGTCCCAGGGAGACCGGAAATCAGACAGCCTCTGGCGCACACCCGCACCCGACTCCAGTGGGCCCCTGACAGGTAACGTGGCCGCCGGGGTGGCTGTCACCTTCCCCGGGGCCCTCCTTGGCAGCCCCTGCTGCCTCCCTCGCCCCACCTCCAACCCAAGACCTCCAGGTGGGGCCTGTGTGTGGTGCAGGCCCGCGGTGGAAATGAGGGTGAGCACTGCTGGCCACATCCACTGCCTCTCTCCCTTCCCCCTCAGTCTTCCCACCCTGCTAAGCCCTGAGAGACCCTTCCTCAGCCAGCCTGGGCCTGGTGCCTCTGAGCTTCCCCAGGAGAGGTCGGCATCC